GGTGACGTTTGACGGCCGAAACACCAATGATCTGTGCAGTTCCCATTGGAATGCGATTGGTTGGATTCACTTGAAGTTACGGCGGCATAGACCGTTCTACAGATGTACACAGGTGAGAGCGTTTCGGTCACGTTTACGGTGTGATTAGTGTCAACATGGTGCGACACAACGGCACTTGTGAGTGACTTAATTACCCCACTTTTCAATTCTGTTCATATTGTGTTACTTGTTTTATTCAAATGGATCAAAGGGAAAGGATGTTTCCGATAATCCTGTAATGTCAAGTTATTGAATTCGCCCAAATTTGCGTGATTTCAAAGCGCGATTGAAACCAACACTCGAGTGAAGTGTTCACTCCGGAGTCTAAAATGACAAATCGACACTATCTGATGGTACTCGAATGGTGAGTTGTTCGGATGTATAAAGCTTGCTGGAAAAGGCACTTCATCGTGAAAGTTCATCAAGAACTGATAAAGCAGCATCCGACTGTGTCAAATGTGACGTCAAGCAGAATATATCAATTGGCCAAAATATCAACCGACACGACAGGGCGTCAAAGCAGTCATGTACGCATGCACATGCCTATACGCACTCACACACAGGCGAATAGAATGTGCACAAGTGTTAGGGGCAACTGAACAATCAGCCAGAAACCAAGGGTGTAGAGCTTATGGTGAGAAAAAAATCAGCCCAGCGACATTACGGAGACTTGAGAATGGGGAAACAGTCCAACCAATGGGTAAGCTCGCCGGGTGAGAGGGGACAACAGGAGGGAATGTACAATCGGATACATTAACCAAATTAGGCGATTCAAGTTAGGGGCAAAAATAGAACCAAAAAGACCTTCAAATCATTCCGTCTGACCATGTTGTCAATAGAATGTCTACGAACGGGAAACGATCAGCTCAATCTTCTTGCAAATAGAAACGTCTCCCGGGGTCAAATTAATTTTTAATCCGGTAAAGGTTAAGTCTGGTAGGTTGTTGAGCTGAATGATATAATTTTGATTTGTGGAGCAGGTAATCTGGAAAAGAAAACCGCTGTTACTCACTGATAAGGACAAAGTATTTCTCGAAATAAACTGTGAAGTTTTTAGAACAAACAGTACGGTACAGTTCACACTAAATAAATTTCTTTTCGGGTCACACCTTTTGTGCGTTGTGCAGTGTGGAACAAAGAAATCAAGATATTAAACAATACCAAGAGTTTGGAAACAGCTTAGAAAGAGATATTGGGTATGGGATTACACGTTTCGAAACTAGCCAATCTATGATGAAGCACAGAAATGGGTACAAACGCAATGACGATCTTAGATAACTTCACGTGTGAAATGAAAAATGACAGAATAACAGTCCAGAATACAATTTTCTTCATTATCCTGAACGGACAGTTTATATCGTTTCTGTATTTTCTATCTGTCTGTCTATAATGTAGTTACCAGTATTAATGATATTTGTGAACAGATGTATGCGTAGTAGGATTCTGGACAGTAGAACTTACCGTTCGAAAGGAGGCATCTTCACATAATTTTCGCGCACGTATTCGATTAGTTGCTTTTGTGTTCGACCTGTGTAGCTGTACTCAGAATCAATGAGAACGGGTACGAAGTTGTGCGTGCGCGCAGGTGACGGTGGGGTGTGGTGTGATAGCCAGACCGAGAGGGAGTAGGTTAAGGCAAAAAAGGGTACGGAAGCGGGCGGGACAGACCGTAAAGTAAGGATCTGATTAAACTAACAAATAACAAATGATCGATGGTCCTGAATCACCGTGCTGCAAGCAAGCGAAAAAAATGTTGGCAATGAAAACACTGCCAATAGCATCAAACCAACCGCTGAGGAAGACAGAGATAATCAATCCGGATGTGAGCAAGGGGGTCACACACCAACATATGCACACAGGGTTTCATCAATTGTGGAAAACAGTCCTTGAAATGGACATTCAATTTTCTTATGTGCATCATCAATAAATGTAGAGCATTAAATGCCAAGGGATGGAACCACAAGGATTGTTTCATCTCATGCATTACGTTACTCCGCAAAGTAGTCCCATCCGGTAGAATCGATTTGTCCATATGAGGTGTAACTTGTTTGACAGTAGGATGTGGATGGTTTGATAATTTCTTGTGCAGATCGTGAAGCCTATCAGGCGAAATACCATTCCAAAGCGCATCACCAAAATGTGACATTGGCATTTTTCAAGGGCTATCGACTTATTACCACCACAAGTAATCTTTTGAAATGTGAACTTTTTTTACTCTACTGAAATCCTCGAAGGACAGATGATAAATCTTGAGGGTAAAAGAATTTTGCAAGAATTTACAAAAACTAATAGCCTTTTACCTTATTTTGCTTACTTCACCCAGGGAGCAAATTAAGGGTTTTCTCCCGATTATTGGTGAATGCTGACAAATGTCAATTGTTTATTAGTGGAGTTTGTTCTCTCTCAAATCAATCTGCAAATAGAATTTGAAACTTGAAAATTCACTGTTGAAGTCACTGGTTGTCGTTATGACTGCGTAACATTCCAAACAGATCAATAATAGACAAGAGGATGCAAATGTATGAGTCTACAAGTTATGGCATTGAATGTGACGACCCAAAGAGTGGATATGTACCTTAATGGCGACAATGATTAAAGACCTTAGAATTTTCAGCGAAATGTATAACCTAGCTCTTAGTTCACCGCATGTTCGACGAAAACAAGATGGTCACATGGAGCTGAGGATACAGCAACTTTAGGTGTTAAGAAAACTAATTTTATGACAATGGCAGTGCTATGCAATTGGAAGAAACTTAAGGTATATTTTGGAAAGAAATTTAGGTACAGACGAGACAGATGATCGAAGGTGAAATACTTCCAGTTATTTTGTTTTTCATCAGGATCATCCAGCATATTAGCACGCTAGAGAAGCAAGCTCAGAAGTAAAATTGATGACCGTATTTGCCAACAAACCATATGTGTATTTTTTTAATAACGAATGGTTGTGCGCTGAACAGTTGAATGGGTAGATATAGTCACTAACACAGACTTAACAGGGGTTTTATGGCCAATGGGAACCCAGAGATCCGGATGGTGGACCATAAAAGGTATCATAAGATAAGCGTATCGCGACTTCGGACGGCAACTCAGCTGCCTACCGGCAAAATGAAATCAACAAAATTTTGACTGACTGTGATTGTTTCGTTAGGAATGAAGAATTGCATTGACCTGATTTTGGTATCCGATAGAAGGCAACAAGATGATTTGATTCGAATAACAAATTCATTCTCCCACTAACAGTATTTATGAAGCATGAATAGTGGGGCAAAACACATAAGTTCAGTGAACTGAATGTGTTAAATTGTCACCAAAGCTATGCAGTTCAACTAATCGGACTGCGATCCTTGAGCAACCGCTGAGTTGAAGCACCGCATCGGGGTTGCTTTGTAAATAGGCGTCTAGCCAAAAACCTTAGAATAAGGTTTACTAAGTCAGCATTTCAATCTTTATGGAGCACATTGTAGCGACCCACGGTTAGTTTTAGAACAACTTCCATACTGCTATATTCAGTTAATTTCTTTTCGTTCACAGACTGTTTCGAGACATGCATCAGGTTTAATACAGCTTATCTAAAACCAAACAAGTTATAAAGATTAATGTATGCAGTATTTTGCACATTCATACCTCAAGTGAGGCGGAAAGGGGCAGCCAAAAGCCGTGTATAGATGAATTCGATTATAAGCGAAGTTAGGAGACTAATATTCACTCAGAAATGACATTCACACCAGTTGGAGTTTGCACATAAACTTGAGGGTGAAATATAAGTTGTGCAATTAACTTCATTTGGGGGCAATATGAACAGAAATATGACTGATGCAGTTCAAACGAGTGTAGATGGCCTCAACGAGAGAGCGGAAGAGAAGCAAAGTACTGTCCCGTCGGGGGGGGGGCCAAAATTGAGCCGACTTGCTTTATCCGTTCACCCAGTATTCCCGAAGAGATTGAAAAGCATCAGTTTTGTGGACTAACTACGTTTAATATAAAACCAATTTCTTTACTACGGTTTTCACCGTTGTTTACACTAGGAAGGAGGTAATGCACTTGTCCTGGCTAAACAAAATGCTCAGACGGTATGTAAAACGAAATGGGTTCAAATCCGCATGCAAACTTGGACGTTCAAACCCCTGAATTGTAATGACCGATTGTAATGTGTGTTGGAAATGGGGAAATAACTTGATTGCTCAAGGTAAATGACATATAAAAGTTACAATTCATAAAATCATATCTTTTGATTTTCATTAGGGCCACCTATTTAAAAATTACCCACTAATTCATAGCAAAGGAAGAAGGAAAATTTCAACAGAATAAATAGATTCACCAGTGAACGGACATGAGTACGGAGGATAGCTAGATAGAACATTTGGCAATTGTTCTAGCATCTAAATGCAATATTTTAGGCACAATTAAGTTACAAAAAGATTGTATGCGCGAAAACAAGCACAACAGAGAATCGAAGAATAGTCCGCATTTGGTTCATTTCATTTATTCGTATCCTCGTATCCTTTCATGAATAAATTCATTTGAAATCCAGGCTTTATTAAGTCAGCCAAAGTTTCGTCATGGAGAAAAACACTCCTTTCAAGAATGGGCAAGACAACATCACACGTAGCCATGGCCGTTAATCATCCTACTATGTTGCGTACTGAGATGCAAATTTAACCCTGTCGGTGCGCGCGCATCCGCACGCCATTCTGTTTAACGTAATTAGTTTGGACGACTCGGGAACTCCGATGGGATTTGATGTCAATGTAATATGAAAAGTCATTCTATTATAGGGGCACAGCTGTGCGGATGAGAACCATCATCTGATAGCGCGATGCGTCCGCACTGAGCATGATTAACGAGCAACAATAATGTCTTCCTCAGCGGTTCTCCTCGTGAAGCACGCACACGAACAAATTTCTCGGCTCGAATGCCTGGTCTTCTGTAAAAAACGTAGCAGAGGTGTTTCAGCCCTGAGTATACAATAACACTAGAATAACATTTTCATCTGATATTCAACAATTCCACAGTTGAATGAATGGAGCGAAACCAACTAGTCCAAAATGCTAAAGCAAAATAAAAGTCGTACGAAGGTAGAGCCCGTATGTACTGCATTTATTAGGTGGGAGACGATTTCAACGCACATTCCGAATTGCAAACAAGAAGAAGGTTTTGATGCGGCTGCAGGTGAGTGTAAACACTGATCGAATTTCAGACACATATGGCACTGTATAACTTCACTTGATGCGAGTTGCAAGCTTTTCTGGACGTTTTGAGTGATACGGTAGATGTGCTTGGCATAACTTTTGGCCCTTCAAAATGTAACGTTACAAGA